TTTGATTGACCAGGTGTGAAAAGCTGCTTTAAATCACAGCCAGCAGCACATCGGCAGGGACGTCAGTGCAGTCCCTAGTTTTGTCACTTCAGGATTATATTGCTTGGGAAAGAGAGGATGATTAGAGAAAAATTAGTACCTGAAAAGAGCAAATCTTGAGCCTTGGTGCTACTCAGCTGTTTGGATCTTGTGAAGTACTCGGGTAGCATAAGCACGTTACCGAAAAATTGCTATGTCCCTCTTGTCACCACGCAGCAGCCACTGCCCTGTTATTTAGTCTGCAGCAGCAGTGCGGCGGGTTTCGGTGTTCTGGAGGTACTGTGTGATGTTAGCAGGGGCAGGAATAAACTCCAGCTTGTGCTTCACGACTTGCCATCCCATCCGGCTCCTCCGCACACTGAGCAGGGATGGCAGCGGTGCCCCTTGCAGCCTCCTGCAAGAGCCACGGGTTTGGGAGACGGCTGTTCGCAGTCGCTCTGTGGGGAAGGGGGAATGGGCTCAGTCGTTTTCAGTCCCATTGTAGGCTGCTACGATGGGGATCAATATGCTGACTCTGACCCTCCTTGCTGGAATATAGTTAAAGGGTGATTCCCCTGAAACAAGGGTGTCTTTTTTTTTTTTTTTTTTTTTTTTACTTCTCTTTTCTAAGTGAGCCCTGTATGACTTACCCAGATTTACGCTTGTTGGGCAATGTTTACCCTGGTTTCTCTTTCCTGGGTACTCTATTACTCATTACTGTTCAAATCCTAGCCAATAAATAATAATTTTTGCTATGGCAACAAGAATCTGGTGGCTGAACAGCACAATATTCCCTGAAAAGCCTGCCTTATTCTTCCCAGTATGGCTCTGATTGCTGGGCAGAGTATTAATATATAGGTATATGGTTTTGGACTCTGGTTTTGTGACACAGTTCTGGGTGAAGCATTCAGCTGAGCAAATAGTGGCAAATCCCTGCAAGCATCCACAGCTGAATGGTGCAAAATTCTTCCTTTCCACAACTGGCAGCTGCTGCTGAGGCAGAAACGGGGGAACCACTGCTGAGACACGATGAGCAGAGTTCTCTGGCTGGGCTTGAGAGTGCTTGGCTCTTCTGGGATATGTTTTTCTTCTAAAGAAAATGACCCCTGTTGCCTTCTGTGTTTCTATAAAAGTCTGTATGGTTTGGCAAGGGGCTGCTGGCTGTGCAAACCTGTTGTCTGTGCCGTTACTGGGCTCTTGATTTTTCTTTTTAGATGGTTCCTGGGACTGAATCTGCCTGTGTTCCCTACGCACTGTGCTCAGTTCTGCTCATTGGCTGCTCAGAGCATTTCTTAAGGCAGCTGTATGACCCGTGTGTCCCCTAGTTTTGCTTGAATAAGTTGCCCTCCATCGTCTCTTGGATCAAGCAGAGCTGCTTAGTGCTTCCCCTGGAACCACCGCATGCTTGGGGAGGGGAGCTCGCGGTGGAACCTGGGCGATGCCACAGCGGGTTTATCGATTTGAGTTTTGGGGCTCTCGCTCTGCAGGAGGGTTGACTGAGCGCCCCGGGGGGTGTGCAGGTGTGGGGAAGGTGGCCACTCGTGCAGAGCCTGTTTGCTGGAGTCTGACCCTGTGCCAGCGCCTGGTTGTTCCTCCAGTGTTTGTTTTGCCTGGGCGCGTCGAGCGCTTTATTGCAGAGCGGCCATAGGGCTCTTCCTGCTTCTTGATAGCAGTGCACTGGGTGCGGGGAGCGTGGGACGCTACTATAGAGGAAGCCAACGTGGTTTTTGAGGGGGGGCTCTTGCGCCGGGGTGCACTCATGCCAAGCAGGACTGCGTGGTGTCCGCCTTGGCGTAGGCTGCGCTGGCCCAACTGGAGATCTTGCTGAAGCAGCAAATTATCTTGTTATGAGCTCTCCCCGAGGCTGGGGCCCTGGGTGTGTGGGGCTGGCACTGCTGTGATTAATGATTGTTCTTTTTGAATAGCTTCAACATTGCCTCCTAGAGCTTTACGGCCTCTCTGCAGCAGGTACCTGACAAACCCCGATGGCAGAGCGTTCTGCAGGACACGCAGCCCGGCTCTGGGGAGCGAGCGTGGCCTGAATTGAATTGGCTGTGGGCAAGTGGGAGCTGCTTTAGTTCAGGGCTTAGGCTGGGCTGTTGGCGTGTTGCCTCTGGGCTCTGAATGGGGGGTGTCTCCTCATCATTTCTGCTGCTTTCTACTCTTTGGTTTTACTCCCTGACGAGGCTGTTTTCTCCTCTTGCACTACATGCAGCTTTGGTCCAAATTGGACTCAAAGTCATTTTTCTTAGCGATTTCCTCCTGATAGCAGAAAACCAGGAAAACTTAGTTCCATCTCCCAAGCTTAAATTATAAAAACAAGGCACATCTCTCCTGTCCCCTTTATTTTCCGTGTTTAGTCAAGTACTGCTTGCCCTTCAGCACAGTTGCCCACACTGGTAAGCGGCCTGTGTGCAGCATCTGGTTCTGGGATAGCTTCTGAGCTTCCAGGAGTGCTGGGCACCTCCACCCTCGTGGCCTTCGTGCCTGGCAGCATGGCTCGTCCCCGCAGTACAGACGCCACATTGTGAGCGGTCGCTGCCTGCTCTGCTGCCTGGCTCGGATCAGGGAGCATCTAGGTCAGCAGCAGGGGTGAGAAATTCAGGGAACAGCAACTGGGATGCTCTGATCTTCAGGGCCATTTTATTCCAACCCCTTTTTTCTGAAATATAATCGTTCCCCTCCCCATGTGTTATCTGGGGAAGGTCAGAGTGGCTCTGGCCAGGACTGGGGCAGGGAATGGGGAAAGGCAGCTGGTTGCCCTCTCTGTTATTTCCATCCTTCCTTCTCCTGGGAGCGTGGGGAAGGGAGCCAGCCTGTGTCCGAGGTACATCCTGGACTGGAGCAGAGTAGCATGCAGCTCCATCGTGCATATTTGCAGTGCGGAGGAGGTGTTAGGTACTCGCTCTGTTACCTGGATTTGATTCAAGCTCCCCTCATTGCTTTTCTGAAAAGCTCACTGTCTTGCCTTGAAAACCCTTATCACCCACATAGCTCCAGCATGTCTGCTATGGGCAGCACAGGATAACGCAGTAGCAGGCTGGCTCCTGCTCGCTGCCGGTTTGCAGGCTTTGTCCCCCGGTGCAGTTGTAGATTTGGCTTTAGCAGGACCC